ATTACCATGTAAGTCCTGTAGAGCTTGGTATCGGTTGCAGACTTCCACAGTATACATGTCTTTGATGATGTTATCATTGAGAAGCTTGTTCCAATCGTATCTGATCTTTTTCTTACCAGATGGTTTACTTTGCCGCAGGCTTAGTCTTATTTTAGCTGTGACAATACGGTGATAAGATCCCACAGAACAGAAGGTGTTAATACCCACCCAAAAAATACCCAAGTGCCCCCCACCGGGGGGGTAGGACTCCCCTACTTTGCTTCATACTGGCTATATACAGCATATTGGCCACTCCAGAAAATACCATAACATACCATAATGCTCTTTGTTTTTCACCTCAAAATTTTGCATAAGCATTGTCTTCAGTTTCTCATGGCCCTGAGAGAAACTGAAAACAATGCTTATGCAAAATTTTGTGGTGACAAACAAAGAATACTAGTAATAGTTGACACTACAGCTGCCCCCGCTCTGTATATTGTCGGTCAATAGTATTCTTGCTCGTCGTGTAGTTCTTTGAAATATACCGATTCATAATGAAGATTTTCACACATATTCCATACAACAGGTGAGATAAAATACAGGAAACGCAAGGTTCCATGCACATTTTCAGTTCGATTTACACTGCGTTGATCAAAACATTCTCAGTTTCAAGAATAGTTTATTCTAAACCATAAGAAAAGATTTAATAAAGAAGTTGAATTTTTCGCTTTTTCTCTTTCACTTTTTACATTCAGTTCATTTTATTTACCGGAAGGTAAGCCTTAGAAATTAAAAGGAAGTTTGCTTATTTCACGCTCGCGCATTCTAGTCTTATTTTAAACTTTACAGCAGAAGGACATATGTGAGCAGGAAATAACTCAGCACAGAATTTGATGGTCGACGAATTTCTGTAATCGTCCATCGTTCTGCTAGTGAGTGATAAGCTAGCCGTTGTTCACTCGTCTTGCTTAGTTTGGGGCTGAGTCTTCAAAGTATTCAGGTAAAAGAGAGTGTCTGGGAAGGTGAACTCGTGTCTGGCAAGGTTTCCAATCAAAGATTTGTGAACTTGTGTCTGACAAACTCTCCAAGTGTTTACACATATACAAGTTAAACGCACCTTTTGACTTCATCTGCGCTTAACGAGTGTCTTTCAAAACAACTGCTCCACAGAATGTCACTGATAACACGTAACGCAAAAGAGTATCGAAGTATGACTGCACAATAAATGTCACAAAATCTACCTAGGCGGTCCCTTCGGGATTTTCTGTTCTTACGTCATCCTAACCATTTCGTACTTGCGGGCGCAAACAATAGAAACGTCATCATCCTACCGATTCCTCGCGGCCCCTGTTCAAGCAAATCGAGATTTTTTCTAGTTAGCCTGCGTAGCAAGCGTTCCTCGCGAGGTTCGTCTAGAAAGCTGGGACGCTCTAATTTTCGCGCAATAACTCGATTGGAAACGCTTGCTACGCAGGCTATTTTCGAGTATACGGACTGTATATTTCAACTGTAAGTACTTTCCTTAATATACGCGCGAGTTACTGGGGTGCCTCCTCGGGATTTCGCCTTCTGGGCGAAATCCCTGCGGGGGCAATCATGGTATGTTATGGTATTTTCTGGAGTGGTCAATTGCAATATAATTGCAGAATGAGGATATTTCCAAACTGACAGAAACCAGGACAAACAGAGGAAGTGGGAGAAATGTCGAACTACTACCAACAATAAAAAACGCCCTGGGGAGGTTGAAGGGGAGGAGAGAGTTAAAGTTACGGAGATGATAAAGGGATTTCTTTTTTGTTTTGAAATTTTTCATTTCGGGTTTTCTTTGAGGATAGGAAAATTTGGAAAATATAAGAAATATATTAGACATTTTTGGACAATGCTAGCCGCGCAGTTCAGACTGTCAGATGCAAAAAAGATAAATTCAGCAGATGGTACGATGAATAAACCAACCACAAACATTTACTTTCTATTTTTTGGCGTGCAAAATCATTTAATCCTTAACGGAAAACTTTCAGGGCTCGGAAATTTTAGTCCTACCTACGAGTTTTTCGGTTTCGTCGGGAATCCGACAAGTCTGTGATGGTAAAACTGCATGGAAAAAAAGATATTGAGATTGTCAGTTCATTCAATGGCATATCTAAAACATGTAAGTTAGAAATGGATTTTTTTTTCAAACTCAGAAATAATCGCCGTGTGTAATGTTTACGTAACGCAATCAAGTGTAAAACGACCAATTCACGTGACTCGTGACATATCGAGCGCGCGGGAAGTTCGCTGTGGTTTGTCTCAGTTTCATTGAGGAAATGAAGTCAAACAAGGTCACAAGGTACAAAAAATCAAATTGTAGACCTGATTATATACTACACAGGATAGATATTTGGTGTAGCTTTTGAAAACTTCGTTGTTTCGTGATAAGCACTTGACCCACATGTTTTAATACATTGGTGAGGCGAGAGTTCAAATACTGCACCTGAAGGATAAGAGTTCTTTACGGCTGACAAAATGGCATGAAACCTTCCACCTAACGTATATGAAGCATCTCTTTATCACTGTGGGACTTGAGATTGCCTAGGAGAATTGATTCGTGCGGGCGTATGGAAAAGCCCGAATCCGGAATCCGGAACCGGAACAGGAACTTAAATTGAGACCAGGGTAAACTGGGAAGCACTGAAACCAGTTCCTGATACCCGTGTGGGAATAAAATTCAAGATGGCGTCGTCTGTTATCATTGTTTTGAGAAATTTTCAGCACAGTGAACGTGATACCAAAGGTATACTCACATTCGGAAAGTGACTTGCAAAAAAAAGGTAAGTGCATCCTACTGTTATTCCTAGCAGTCATAAACTGGGACTGCAGCTGTAGGTCGAGCAATTTTCGACAGATCGAGACTACAACTAATCACAAGCCAATTGACTGCGAAAAACAGCCATTATTAGTATGTGATGTTTAAGACCGCTGTGTTATTCATTTCCTCCTCTTAAGCCTAAGTTACTCATTTCTTCAAAGGGCTCCGTGTTTCATCCCTTGTGAGGGAAAGGAGGCAAAGGGAGGAGGAGTACTCATGTCAATCATGATCCCAAGTTGCAACGCTCACGCGTATATGAAATTCTCGAAGAAAAATTTTGCGCCGTACGCAAAAAAATGCGGCAGTAAAAATTATAATAACAATAAATAAATATAATGTGGGGATGAAAAGTCTTGATCGAGCAATAATTGTTAGTGACACTCTTAAGACAGTAACGTCTCCAAGTTTTATTTCTTAGGTCGGGTTCGGGTTCGGGTTCGGGTTCCGTTTCCGTTTCCGTTTCCGGCTCCGGTTCCGGATTCCGGATATTCCATACGCCCATTCGTGTCGCGCCGAACCCCAACTGTCAAGTCAGAAAGGTTAAATTACACTCAAGTGCGCCGTGAATTTTGCGTTCCCAAAAATCCATTTCATATGTTGCCCAGAGGAATGTCTTTTTCTGTTTGAAATCATGTATCGAATGTAATCTAAGGCCATTGAAATTTGACAATATTTTGCTCCCGTAAAATCCTTAAAATTTTGTAAATATTTAAAAATCCATAAAATATTCCAGTTAAAATCAATTCAAGAACATGACCACTCAATATTTGTATTAAAAACCTTTTAATACGATAAAAAACTTTTTGAATTGGATGATATTTGAATTAGAGTGAAGTCGCGGTCTTTTCGTAGCCCGGTCTAAGGGCCCGAAAAAGCGGTCTGGCGAAGGCCGTAAATCGCCCGAACTTGACATTCGCCGTATCGCCAAAATATTTATCCAATGAAACTAAAATTTATATTTTCATTTCTAGAATACCTAGGGTAGTGTACAGAATTTTTTGGGGGATTTTTCAAAAATTTTATTTTTCCCACCTCGGGTAGATATTTACAGACATCCGCCCTTAAACGCTTACAAACATCAACAAATAGCTAAAACTATAATTTCTATTTGTTTGCATTGCTCGAAATCGCGAGCATTGGCAAGGCCCTAAAGTTTTTTGCTGACTTGGAAGGACCCATCCGTTATAAAGATCCCCAAAATAAAGGGATAAATCTCATAGTTTATTAGATATAATCGGTGTAATGTCTGCTTATCATTTTCACAAATTTGGAAACCGCTGAATTTCTCGCATTGGGTCTTTGCGATTTTGGTGAAACGCTCGTCAACGCAAGGCACTAATGCGAACTATATGTAGCCGAGAGATTTTCACGAAAAAATGCCGGCAGCACTAGAATTTCGACTCAGACCCCAAAGAGGCGTGGCAGTATAACCTCGTGACATTTACTCCGATCGCCAAAACTTTTATGCTATATTGTAGATTGATCTATACGTTACCCATGCTATATGTTAGACTTACGATCAAAGTAAAGGTGGGGATACCAGAGAGCTTCAAAGTAGGATGCTACCCTCACAAAATAACTGGGTCGAGTCACCTTAATATCGTATGTCGATGCTAGGAAATTTTGGTGTACTGTATATAGTGCTAATTTTTTATTCTCATACTCAACTTAATAATGACCGAGGCACGGTCGAAACGTCGTTGTAAATTCTTACCTTAAATTGTCTTAAATAACCCTTGCTGATAAGGATGTTTATTATTCACATTAAAAAAGGAATTTACGACGATTAAAACTCTCGCCGTTCAAAAGTACCAAAATTGACGAAAAATCGCCTTAAAGCAGGTTTTCTTGGCCTGTGCTTTTCTGCCTAGGCCTTGTAATTGAATTCATAGAAAGAGACTATTATTCCGTAGAACGCGGCATAACTTCTTTTGAATGAGTATTCAATCTTCATTCGCCCAGCTCTCGAAATTAAACCACGACATTTTCAATAGGTTTTACTTTAACAGCTTACTCTACCGCGAAAAACACGCAGAAAGCAAAAATTGCTGTTATTCATCTATCTTACCAATGCGACAAGCGGATGAACCAACGAGTTCGCGCGTAAAAACGTTTTGCTTTCGCACTTTGTAGTGATCCAGTTTGTGTTAATCTTGGTACTACAAACTAGCATTCACACAGTAATTGCGCCATTGTCGTGCAAGTCACTTTGAAAGACAGCATTAAGATGATCTAAGTCACGTGTGTCCACCGCTTTATGCAGCTCAGATTTGCCCATTAGCGACAGCGTCATGCGCAGTGTCGACCAAATGTTGTCTGACATTGTAGACACTGAGCCTCCTGGTCCAACAGAGCCCTGACAAAAAAGAAAGGGAAAAATAAATACTCTGGATGGATTGATGCAACATGTCGTCTAGAGCCATTGTAGAAGGGGTGTGTGGTGCTGAGAATGGCCAAGGATCCTTCGTAATGTCTCAGACACGTAAGAGGGTCTGAGTGGGCGTAACCGACTAGTATTTAAATTGCCCGTGGGGGGAAATCTCTATTCCTCATAAGCTCGGCTTCTCGGAGATTTCCCCGCCACAGTCACTCCTCCCAAGTAATGTACAAATTTTAAATTTAATGTTAGTTAACCTATTTATTATCGTTTTTATTCTGCTTGTAATTCATTGTGTGTGGCAAAATAATAAAATAAAATAAAATAAAATAACCGACTAAGTATAACGACAACTATGACTGACTATCGGCAAAACGGGGAAGAATTACCGAAAGGAAAATATTAACCATCAACTTACACGGTTCGACATTCTAGGGAAGTTTATGTTCGTTTATACTTAATATGCTTGTCGTCTTAGGAGAACCCTTGCGTGCAAATCCTTTATGAAATAAGGCACAGACCTGTGCGCTGCAATAGCTACAATGATCAGGCGATTATGAACGGAACTAAATGATCATTTTATGTAGTATTGAACGTTATTAGCAAATCGACTCATCAGTCCACTTCAAAAAGGGGGGAGCGCAGTCCGCGGTTCGACTGGGGTTGATGAGGTATTGCGCCGGATAATGGTGAAATGCTATGAAAGAGACAAAACCTGACGCCATAGACGCAAGAGGTTCACCGCTTCACAACATCACAAAATAGTTTACAACATCGCTGGATGTAATCAGTTAATGTTTTGAGTCTGTTAGTGGGGCAAATCATGGAGCAAATACACATTACAGCTGACCGCTGAATAGAGAGCATCGCCTCGGCTGACGGTAATCCCCAGACTAGGACCCGATTAAACAGAGATATGATTACCAATTCACTAATACGCCGGCCCCGTGCGTATGCGGGGACCTGTTCAATGGGGATCATACCATGATTTAATTTTTGGGATGTTTCCAGTGATCCACAAAAGTAAGTTCCCGCCAAAAAAAAAAAAATCACCCCAAAAATTTACTTTAAGGTAAATCTTCTCTGACTTAAATTCACTTCCGATCGATCATCGGAACAATTAGTTACCGAGATAATCCAATGAAAAAGAAAACTAACCTGTTTTACTGGTTTTACATAGAGTACGCACACCGTAGTATTGTTTGAAAAAATATATTTCCATTGCACGTACTCGATAAAAAAGAAAATATTTTCAATGATTTGTCCGGGACTCACTGAAAATCGCAAACATAAATTCCCAGCAAGAAAATCCAGACTGCCCTAATCGCAAAAATTAGTTCCTGTAACAAAAAACTCACCAATCCGGAAAAAAATTTCGTGCAACATGGTAGTGATTTGGAAGAGAGTTGCTGAGCGTATTGTGTAGTGACGTGGAAATAGAACTGGTCCTACAGGAGATCATTGGAGAAGAGTTTAACTGGGGCGCTAAGAGAGACCCTGGTGCCCGTCGGGATATTCACTCCCGAGATTTCTAAGAGAAATGTACGCGATTCTGCATTCTTTAAGGTCCCTAATGCAGAACCTTTCACAGATCTTACTCTCGAGCAAATTTATTGGCAACACAGACATGAGATGAAGCGGCAATGCGCCAAAATATTTTTACTACCAATGGCGCAATGACTGAGGAGTTCAGCAGATATAACAGCAGACTTGCTAAACATCTCGCCATCAAAAAAGGGAAAATTAGGCCAGTACAGTGTCTTGATTAAGGGCAAAAGCCTCATTTGCAATCTTTAGTTACGCTCAGCTTTCCTCTGCCCTAACAGATCGAAATCGAAAAGAAACAGCAAAGACTGTGACTGCTAGAATAACCCCATCCCTTTTTCTTTCCTTTTTGTTTTTAAAAGCACCAATTTCGAGACAATTTTAATTTGATATAGAACTTGACACTTTATCGAGGTAAATTTTTAATTAGAGGTACAATTTCTTTTATAAGTGAAACTAGATCTTGATTAGAACTATCAAAAATCAATTACTACGTCATTCATGATGCACATAACTTCTTTTTATTTTAACTGAGTCTAAAGAGATTATATTTTGGAAGTAATATTGCATGTATAAAAATAAATGAAGGATTTTCCTCTTTCTAATAATAATAATAATAATAATAATAATAATAATAATAAGCGGGAACGTAGAATGGCTGGACGAATTAAGAGCTGTCATTTATGAGCGAGTGCCACCCCCGACGGAAGAGGCCTGGGTTCTAGACACAAGTTGCGCGGTGAAAATTCCAGAACGGAAGAAAAATTGGAGTGCACATGGACCGGATCGTCTCCTCAATTTTTGGTGGAAACGAGCTCACGTCTTACATGAGGGCGTAGTTTCAAGCTATCTCTGACTATGAGGAAGATTATTCTCCCTGGTTTTCTAAAGGGAAGACATCGCTGATTCAGAAGCCCGGATAATTTTTACCAGTGACAACCAGTGCCCCATTATTTGCTTAAACACCATGTACATATGTTTCACGTCTTGCCTACTTGTCCCAACAGACCAACATCTAGACGAATATAAGTTGATGGAGGGTGCTCGTACAGGATGTAGTGGTAAGGTAGACAACCTGTTGATTGATCGAACGATGACTTTAGATTGTCACAGGAGAAGGCGCAATCTAGGTATGGCATGGATTGATGTTAAGAAGGCGTGTGATTCAGTGGATCGTGGCTGCTTAAATAAGGTAATGCTGTTGCACAGGTTTCCGGTCTGGTTGTGTAGGGTCATCGCCAAGCTTTGTAGGAGTGGGAACACGAGAGTAATGGTTGTCACAAGAAAAGGGAGGGAAACCTCCGAACCGATAATAGTCAACAGAGGGCTGCCCCACCAGGACCTGCGCTATATATGCCCGAGACTCTTGACTGTATGCTCAAACCCAATAGCCTGGAAGATCAGTAATACCGAGGGATACAGATTGTCCAAACCCATCAGTTTTAAGGTTACTGACCTACTATATATTGACGACCTCAACATTTTCGCTGCATCTGAGAATAAACTCAACCGGGTCATGAACATGGTCAAAACGACTATGGAAGATGTGTGCAGTGGTTCATGTGAGAAGAGGAGTGTATGTGAGAGATGCTATAGGACGAGGATGATATAGGACGAGACGGCCAGGATACCAATCCTCGAGGACGGGAAGCAGTACAATTTCCTAGGCGTGCTTTGGAGTGTTATGCAGGAGGATAACCTGGTCTTGGGGTGCGGAGCCAAGGAGTACCTCCGACGGATGTCTGTCACTTGGACAAGTCCTTTGTCCGACCAAAATCGTGTGACCGCTTCAAACCAGTTTGCCTTACCGGTGCTTGGTTATCTTCTGTGGACGCAACAGTGGCCGATAATGGCTATACAGGTGATCGACAGGAAAGCTCGGAATATTGTTATTGAGAACGGGGGAAGGTACCCTTGTGGCTCCAATGCGATATTTTACCTTCGGTGATAGAAGGTCGGCAGAGGTTTACGTTCGGTAGAGATGGAATATAAAGGCACGAGGTTTAAGGGTACGGTTAGACTCTATTGTAATCAAGATCCGGCCATACAAATGATGCGGGAGTTTGAAGGGCGAGCGGAGGAAATGGGACGGAGGTCCATGGTTAAAGAAGCGTTGAGGTTCGCGGAGGAACTTGGTGTCGAACTTAATTTGGAGCATCTTCGTATAGTCAAGACGGAACTGCGAAAGTGTCAAGTAGAGAGGCTAGAAGAAGATAGAAATCAGCGAAGGCGGGGAAGTCTAGTTATAGCTAGGTTTCGGGATGAGAAGTTGAGCGCTAGTGGATGCTTTGGTGGCTGACAGAGTGCAAGTCCTGTCCAAACGATCAACTACTACCAACTCGATTATATGCGCGTCAGAAGACCCAAACAAGTTCTGACGAGCAGCTGCTACATGACCCAGTTCTGAGGGCGAGGCGTGGTGTACGTTGTGCAGTAAGGCCCCAGAAAGTGTGGCTCACATCTTGTCTGGGTGCGGTGCGCTGGCACAGAGCAAGTAGCTTTCCCGATACGACTCAGCCTTAAAGGTACTTTTAAATGAGATGTTGCATGATCTTGGACTCATAGGTGAGTTCCACCCAGGTACTCTTCGGCCAAGCCAAGGCCCGTATACGAGTCGGATGATGTACAAGCCTAGTGGGAGGTGCCAGTTTTTGCAGATTATGAAGAGGTGAGATGCAACAGAGTTGATATCTGAATCGTCAACCACAAGACCAAGCGGGTCATAACCCTCGAAACGAGCTGTCCGTGAGTCAACAACAGAGGAAAGACGTACGAAGAGAAGAACCTAAAGTATGCCCCCCTGCCCTGGGAATTAAAACAGCAGTTCCCAACAACAGGAGAGAAAGTAAAGAGGTGCTGAAAAGAACGCAGAAGGCGGTGTGGTCGGGCACGCTCAATATTGCCGGACATTTAAAGTTGTGACTTGAAAGAAAGACGATTGACTGTATTTTCCAACGATTTTTTTTAAATCTAGCTTAGGCCAAGTTTGGATTCTGTGTTTTAGACGTTTCATTGGGTCGAGCCTTATTTTTGTTGTCTTTTATAAAGTGAATGTATATAGATAAAGATATCTTTAGATTTTTATTTATTAGCGGAGCCCCATACCCGAAGTCAGAAAATTTGGTTATGACGTGAGCGTACACCGTCCGTACAGACTCTGGAGGTAGGGGTAAAAAAACCCAGTAGGGTAGGGAAGGGAATCCCAGACGTGTACGTTGCGTTTCGTTTAGGCGCAAAATTAACCATTTTAGGGGCCACCAACGGAGTTGCTCGAGTAAAAATCTTCGTTGCAGTTCTTGTGTTCGACGTACGAATGAAATTTGTTTACTGACAGACCACCTGCCGACAACTAAAGCCTTTTTTCCCTCAACTGAGGGAGTAAAAAAGACTCGAAGTAATCGTCTGAAATTCAGGCTAGTGGCCTCAAGTTTATCAAATATACACCGAGCTTAAATTAATTTTGTGGTTGCAAATGAAAAGGGAAAGGTTTTAGAGAAAACTTTCCTTCGTGTTTTCATGTTACGTACGCCACATTGAAGCTTCCTACCTAAAACTTGCCAGTGGACTGGGATCAACAAGGCTTTTATAACGTTGCAAAGGTAAAAGGCTTTAGCTTAGCTTACCTGCATGTGATACATTTTGAAACTTCTCGATTTAACATCAAAAGATTTGCACGAGTTCTCCTCCTTTCCTTCAGAAAAGGAGAGAGAGGGCCCTGGGAAGACACGAGTTACCAGTATCTTCTAGGTAATTTCAAAGATGGCGAACGAAGTTGGCTATCAATGCTGAAATTGTACCTTACGCAATCCTTTATTCAGTTAAGGGCTAAATGTAACAAGTCTTTATGAATCATGCCTGGGTTATGGTTGTCAGTCTGACTATAATGTAGGCCATACAGGATGTCACGTTGAACCAATGTACAGATCTTCTAGTACGAGGTAAATATTTATAAGAATTATTTCTAAGAAATATGGACTGCAATCAGTATGTGGAATATTTAAAGGATTCTCGATTCTGGCTACATCCTAGCCTTTCAATGATGATTGTCAGCTGGAATCCTCATTAAGCTTCAACAGATTATAAGTTGATACATATGCTATGCATTATATTTGCAAAGTAATTAAACTTTCCACTACAATTAAACTTTTTTGAAAATCATTAACCAGATTAAAACTAAAAATTTAATGTTCTAGTATTGTGTTTTCGTATTTCCCTCTAAATTCGAGATTTCTTATTTTAAGCCAAAAATTAAAAACAAATCATAGGATAATATTTTTTTCTTCAGTTGAGAGATTCAAAGCAATCTTGAATTTAGAGTGTTTCTTTGTCTCGCGTAGAAGTGTAAGACTAAAACTTAAACTATTTTATGAAAACTTTTTCATGGATTCACTGTTTGTGCTTGTAGTTAATGTCACTTACTTTGTGGACCAACACACAAACAGTCAACGTGGGGTTTGTAAGACCCTGTGACCTCATGCCTTTGGAATTTCTGCCATGCTTAGCATTGAAGCCTTTTCGTTAGGCAACGAGTTAGTGCATGTTAGGCTGTTCCTTGTAGTTCCATTGACAGTCCAGTTGTGACTCCAAGGCATGACAATGTTGAGTAAGAAAAACCTCATCGAATCTTTAGTGGTGAAATACCCTTAACACAGAGGCTATTGGAAATTCCAGAAGGATGGTATTTTGTCAATTACATATTTTTTAAAGGTAAAAACGCTGTTTTCCTTAAAAATCACTATCTTTTAAACTTTTGAAATTTGTATTCTTTGGCATCTTCCCTTTATGGAGTAATTGTGAAATTACACTGAGAGTAGGATGAAATATTAAAATTGGTATCCACTTGGCAGTGGCGAGATTGGGCGAGTTTGTACGAGATAATGCGAGTTTAGGCGAGATAAGGAATTTGAACGTAATCTCAAGTTGCGAGTTAGGGCGAGTTAAGGTTCCAGAGTAGGCCTAGGCAACCATCTGGGAACTCTGTCATAATAATATGTGAACGGATAGACGATTAAATTGTAATTTTTTTTAGAGTATATAAATAGATATAGATATTTTTATATACCAGTTGATACGTGTTCACGACTATCGGCAGAATGCTCAATAGAAGGACTAGAGCGTAGTATAATCCAGGTGGTGGATCAACGTGAGATTTGACTTGGCATTTTTATTATTATTTAGTTTCGTACCGCACGGCATGTACGGCACTCCTCAGATAAAATTGCCAACAAAAAGTTCGTTACAACATGCGCTAAGACTACAAACGTGCGCGCAGAATTTGAATAAAAAACTATTGCGTGACAACGGAAGATGTAAAGCTGCTAAGAAGGAATTTGCGCAAGTGCCTGCAGGAAGTTACAAGTTCATTTCGCTTGTTCAAGCTCGCCAGATCGGGTCTGCAAATAGTAAAATATTTTTCCCACAGGCACAAATTACAGCTATTGAAAGCGGGATTAAAAGGCGCGGCTTGGTTTAAGATCTTCCAAGTTACAATATATTCAATCTTAGCGTCTTTCCAATGCCAGATATGCTTGCTGAGTTCTGTACTGAGTCTCTTGTTTGGGTCTCTGAAAGAAGACTTATGGTTTGCGTAGCTGGTCTTAAAAGAATTCTCAGTAAGGTCTACATAGGTCTCAGCAGGCCTGTTGTCATCCGTTGTCACTGTGGCTTGGTAGATCACGGCTGATTTTAAGCAATTACCATCCAGACGGCAGTGAGCTGGTTGACGGCAGTTGCAAGCTTTAGGTGGTACGGCGTTCATTTTCCGTGGGGTGGATTTGTCATCAACTTTTTGTTTTAGATTCGGCATGCAACTGTAACTGATCTTAACTGTGTTGAAGGTTGAAGATTTTATTCAGCACATGGAACTTCGGGGATGCTTCGTCGAGGATTTTTAGGAAGGATCGTCCAACGTTGGTAGCCACGTTCCTGCTGAAAGGGGGGTTGTACCCAATGATGTCTCTATGGCGGTTCCTTCGTCCAGAGTTCGGAGACTGTGCCGTAGGAACTGAGAACGCAAAGTTGTGGCTGTACTCGCTGTCATCGAGGGCTTTGTGATAATGAGGCGCCGCTTTGTTAAACGAATCTTCATCTATAGAGATTTCGGACAGCCTTCTGTTGATGGACTTTGGGATGTTTTCGATGATGCGGGGTGGATGGTTAGATTTCTTGTTGACGTAGAGTGGAATGTTTCCTGGTTTGATGTATGACAAGTATTTACCGTTAGCCAGGATAAAGGAACAGGTTCACGGTTAGGCGCATGCTAATTAATAAAATTGCTTTTTTTCCAATTTATTATTAATTCTATGGGTTAATAATCCCACCCACATGTATCTCAGCGATCTCAGAGTGTATTTCAAAGTGGAAGTGTATTTCAGAGTAACCTAGACTGCGAGTAGTCTTATTTTTCTTTGCAAAGTTACTGCAAGAGAAAACCAAGCACGCAAGCCGCGATAAACGAGGGCGTAAGCCCGAGAAGAAAAATAAGAGACTGTTGACTCTTTTGTTCAGTCTGGGGACAACGAAGCTGTCAAGGTAATTTAATTAACCAATTACTGGTAACCCGATTAACTTGGAACGATTTATAAATAGAACATAAACAACTGAAAAATTTTACTTTTTTTAAATCCAGTAATATTGCCTTAAATTCTCGCAGAATTCCTTTCCCTTGAGGAAATTTACAGCAGTTTCCTTCTGTAAGATATCCTTAAACGTTGTAGATAACAAGCGATTACTGCTAGGTTCATAATTGTTAGTTGTGACGCGTGACTATCCTCCACCACAAAGCAGTCAATGATCTGTCAACAGCTGTAAAACTGACCAATCGGCCACTCTGTTTCTGGGCTGACGGAGAGTTTGTTTGCAACAAAAGAGTCCGTCTTTTCTCATCTGGTCCTAATTCCTTATTGTAACATAACGTCGTGGTTTGCAATCGCGCTAGCCGAGAACTAGACGGATTTTAAGAAAAAAGGCGGACTGCAAGCAGTCTAAGAGTAACCTGAAGTAGGATGGATGGATTATGACATGATCATATTCCTTGCATAGACGATACAGCACGGTCCCGGCAGAAAAACAGCATTTTGATAAATGAGCATGCGCTGAACCGTGAACCTGTCCCTTTACAACTTTCTTATTGGCCTCGATAGTAATCTTCAGACCGTACTTGGCGAAAATGCTACACAGTTCCTTCTTAATAAGCTCAGCCTGACGAGGTGATGCCTTGGTTACACCTAGACCGTCATCTCTGTAGAAGCCAAAGTTACATGCGTTACTGAACCTTTCTTTGAAGTTGTGGGGAAGGTAACTGCCGACGAGTTCGCATGATTCGGCCCCATCGTAACTGCCCATGGTCACATCGAAGAGAGCTTTTTCCCTGAAGGATAATATGCCGTTCGTTGTCGCAAACGGTGACATGCTTCTCTGCGAATTCGAGAGCGGCACCCAGCAAGTCGATAGAGATCGATGGGTAAAACTCTACCACGTCGAATGCAATAAATGTGTACAACTCTTTATACTGTATTCAAGTGAACCAAGATAAGATGGCCTTAGTGTTTTTCCATTGGTTTGACTTCAGCGTACAAACAAGGGCAGTGTTGATGCGGTCAAGGAGCTGTTTGCTGATCTTTCCAATCTCATACTTAGCTGGGTTGGTAAGGCGGCAAGTGGGGTTGTTTCCGAAATTAGGCTTGAGGACTTTGAGAGTAATAAAGGCTTCACGTTTGGCAGTGGTGTTTATCCTCCTATCTAGCCGTAGTTTCTTAGCAATATCTTTGGCCTTCAGCTCAATGGAATCCGCTGTGTCTGGGGTTACTTTCTTGTAGGTCTTAGTAATATTTTTCTGCAGTAGATCGTTATATGATTGTGTGTCCATTTTGTAAACGTTTGAAGTCTTGCCCGCGGGTACCAAGAGCTTGTCAGATCTCATGATGCTGTCATGAATGTCTGAAGAAAGCTTATGCTGAAACTTACAGTTTACTGTCCGAAATTTGATCTTCTCTATCATATTTCGAAGACTTTTTAACTCCCAGGCTCACAGGTTACGCTGTGCGCCCTGTGCCGCTTTTTAAGCTTTTAGCATCCAGTTGAGAACTCTGCTATAATAATGATAATAATAATGATGATGATGATGATGATGATGATGATGATAACGATGATAATAATATTAAGAAAGGATAGCACCAACAAGTCAACCCGAAGCTAATAAGAGTGGCCTTAAATATTACAGCTTAACCCCTTCGCTGTCAACCCGATTGAG